TAAATATTTCGTGATATCTGTTCCAACTGAGTAGACCTGTCAAGACATTTACAGGATGTGACACTACTTCTGACTTCAATTAAATTTCTGACCAGATACTTTAATGCAATTTAAATAGATTATTAGTTGTCAGGATCTAATATAAATTTTGTTTATGATTTAGCTACTTTAAGTACTCTGATTGAAGAAACTATTTAACCCCACGAGTCCAGAGCTTCAAGCATTAAGATGAGGCCACTAAAAAGCCTCCACTGCCCTTTGCACTCTCCCAGGAATCTTAAATTACTACAACCTAACGGCAAATACTGAGGCACCAAAGTGAGCCCCTCCCCCACTTTTTTAAAAGCAAAGACCTTGCAGATGGTAATACAGAAAAACCCATGTATGCTTATTCAAGCTCCAGATTTTTTCTTCCAGGCAGCCCGTTCTCCCAGTGGCTGGCTAGGTAGGAAATGTTTTTCTCACTTTCAATCCCATAAAAATCACTACCAAACACCTGTTGTGCACAAGGCAGGGCATGTATTAAAAACGGGCGTCAGGGGAGTTCAAAAAGAAAAACAAGTCTTGCAGAGACATCCTCAAGCTAATCTGGCTAAGAGATTTTCAAAACTGGGTAAAACAGTGCGAGAAAAAGGATGCAGCTTCTGGCACAACCTTCTCGTGAACAGGAGCAGACTCCTAAACAAGGCCCGAAAAGTGCCTCAGTAACAACTGCCTGTAATTAACAAAAATAATTTATTAAAGAAACAAAGAACACTGTCTAATTGTCTTCCCTGGCTGCCATGCACTTTACCCCAATGTACTTCCTCTTTCCAGAATACCAGCCTTGGAGCCATTACTGCAAGAACATTATCTATGGGATGCAAAACCAAAGCACTTCTTGAAATCAAACGTTCCTTACAGCATTTATTTTTAGGTTGGCAGCACAAGCCAAATCTGCTTAATTTCCATTAACTACATCATCACGTGCACACTGAAATAAACTACATGGGTCCAGAGGGGTGGATTAAGTGCCATGCATAAGACACCCCATATTTGGCCAGGTTTTCCTTTGTTTCAGGAATTTGTCTCCTCTCATGGCCTGCTGATGTTCTAGCTTTCAGCACCTCTAACCTTAATTCAGCCAAGCACCAAGGAAGAGAAAGATTTTTAAAAATCAGTTTAAGACGGCTCCTCGGATAGCACACGTATGGTAAAGTGACACAGATCAGTGCAACAAGGCACGGGAAAGATTGTCTAGAAAATTACACCAACCCAATTGCAAATTTAACTTGGCTTGCTGGCCTGAGTTACAAACTCAGTGCTTGATCACCCGGTGGGATGACTACCATCAACTAAGAAGGAAAAAAAAACCCACAAATGGTAAAAGTCTATGCTGGCTCACATGTAAAGTTCACCTGTCTATTCAGCAGATGCCTCTCTTAAGGTTGCTTTCTTTAAAAAACAAACCTCTACTTGCTGGAGACCTTCATATACACTCAGTCCAAAAACATACTTAAAAATAAAAAAAAACAATACTGCTGGCTTAGCAAAAATGGCATTACTATGAAGGAATTCTATAAAGGGACTATGACACCTAACAGGATAAGAAAGAAAAAGAAAAAAGCCCTAAGCAAAAAAATTTCTTCGAAAAACAAAAATACCACCTGTGCAAATCTAGCTCTGCTCTGGAAACCTCTTTTCAGCCTCAGAGAAACAGCCCATGCCCCGTGCCTTGAAGTTGCAATTAAATTGTAGTAATTTAAGATTATCGGGCGAGCAAAGGGCAGTGGGAGCTCTTTGGAGGGCTTGCCTCCCCACTTAATGCTCTTCAGTCAGGGGTTAAATGAGTTTCTTTAATGTAAGTACCTTAAAGTAACTGAATCATAAACAAAATTTATACTATTTTCTGACAGCCTGCAATCTATTTAAATTTTATTAACGGGTGCCTAAAATTATTTTTAAAAGACAGAACCCTTGCAAGGCCCTGTAAATATTCTTGGCATACCCACTGAAAAGTAATCAAGACTTTATAATACCTAAATGGAACATACATACATTTTGGGGATGCAGATTCTTTACAAGATAACATTTTAAAAGTGAGTTTGCATCTTAAGTAAAACCTGAAAACCAAATCAACAGCACAATAAGGTTGGCTGCAAAGAGGAAGCTGGGTTCAAAAGAAGTTGTCACATCTGTTCTATTCTCCTTTCTCTTCCTTTATGTTGGCATTGCCGTGGTAGAAATATATTTGTTGAGGAAATATCACAATTCTTCTGTTAATTTAAACAACTGCTGAGAACAGACACAGCCTTCAATAGAGCCTACAAATGCAAATATACAAGGCTGGGCGTAGAGTCTTAAGAGAAACAGGCAAAGAGTCAGTAACAGAAAACCATGCCCAGGCTCAATATTAACCCAGTTAACTTTTGTTATTGTTGGTACAAATGATTTAACTAGAAAATATTTATAGCTTTTCAAAAAACATTACATATTGCAGAAAATTGCCTAATAGCATCCATGTGTATGTTTAACTCACATTGTTTAATGATACAATAAAAGGTATATCCAATAAAAGCTACAAACTTTGAAACATGTTGGGCACTCTGGTTATGAAACTCTGACTTAAAAAAACACAAAGTGCTTACTATGTGATCAACATTTGTTCATTACAAATGCAATCCTTAAACAACAATTTTTTTATCCTTCTCTATGTGTATTATTTGTCCTTTACCCCACTTTGCTCTACCTAATTAAAATGATATTTAATTTGGGTATAGCCTATACCTAAAAAGTGTTGCACAGTTTATACTCCAGGATTTAAATATAAACACAAAATCTTTCAGATGTCTCCAGCAACACAACCCCCTTAATTTGAGGCTGTTAATCTAAAAAGTTGATGTTTCTTTCATTATACTTTGATAAACCTGTGAAAACAAAATGCTAAAGTAATTACTGTTACTACTCCCTTTAAAAATGTAAAGCAGTTAAATTTTCCTAGACAACAAGCAAGGACAAGTTACAGAGAACTTGAATAAAAGTAGCAACGTGGTCATGTTGAATGTCAATCTAAAAAAAGAGGTTATGTCTAATCTGGAGAATGCTCCCTCTCGCCTTTTTAAATTCCAAGAGTGGGCTGACACAAAACTTCATCACCAGGATTTTCTTCTTTTTTTTTTTTTTGAGCTTCACATCAGATTTAAACCCTCACATACAAAACCTTGGCTTCCCTGACAAGGCAGATCTTCTAAACTTGATGTGAGAAAATGTTATCTAACTCTAGTGTAGGAGTCTAATGTTGGTAAAAAAGAATTCCACTGCACAGTTCTGGGTAGCAAGACTGCCTCTGGAAGACTTAATAGCCTTTTAATGCCCTTTTGGGTATGTTTTGTTCATAAATAAGAATGCATTATAAAAATAACAACTTGTTTAGCTACTCAGCATCTGTAAGGAACTCAGATCCTGCCTGGAGAGGGGCTGAATATTTCCTTCCAAGCGAGGCTTTGCTTGGGCAACAAAGATCAGCATTTGCAATAGTCCATTTCTGCATTAGTCAATATACAGCTTTGCTGCTAGATTGAATAGTCCAGGGTTCTGTAGAGCTCCTGACAACAACCCAGCAGCAGTTCTGTTTGATCTCTCCTGCTTCCTTAATTTGGGTTGTCAAGGTTCAGCAGTTGGAGGCTGTTTACTTTACTTTTTCAAAAAAAAAAAAAACTGGTCCCCCCCCCCACTCTCTCTCATACAATGACTAATCCAAAGTCTAAGGAGGGTGCGGGGAAAGCGGGGAGGGATGCAGCTAGTGACAAGATGTTAAACATCCCCCCTCCTTGCAGTGAGATTTTAGCTAACACCTTTTAATGGTAACTGGTTGAGTTCCTTTTTATATTTTTAATACTCTTTAATTATATGACGTTTCAAGCACGAAAGTCAGAGACAGAAAGGACTCATTCCCAACCTCTGAGACTGTGAGCCCAATTTTAATTTACTGGCCTCAAAGAGATGGGTATTTTTCACTTAACAGAATCAAAACTCTAGTGGAATTCTCAAAAGATTTGATACATTTGTCTCTGGAACCGAAAATAACAGGAACTTCTGTGTCTCTGTTATACAGGATAACCCTTGATAGAAAATACCAGAACTCTTACCATTTCTCTTCAAATTCTAGTTAAGCTATTTCCCTAAATTGATTCTCACTGTGGAAGCAACATGTAAGGTGAAAAACTGGAGATATTCTTCAATATATTTTCGGCAGGAGAAAAATCTCTTAACTATCCCTTAGGTTTTTTCAATTCAGCTATTGTGCAAGCCCTAAATCCTGAAGCCTACGACAACTAAAGGTATAGTGTAGACAGTTTCAATGTATAGACTCCTTTCAGAGGGAATACAGAACGGCCCTCCAACATTCCAATCTACAGAACAGTAACAAAAAGGGAAATCCAAACTTGGAAAATACCTGTGACCAGACATGAGAGCAACACCAGCCCCTCCTAAGTGGGCTGGAAAAGCTCAAATGCAACCAAATGAAATGTTTATATTAATTTCATTATTCTGTCCAAGCCTCGAAGGCAGGGGGCGGGGGGTGCACAGAGGGACAAATAAGTTTCATTTCGGGTTTTCTGGTTGAGCAAAAGAAAAGGAATTAAAACGAACGCGTAGGATGAGCCTAGACTAAATCAATACACTTTGTAATCAGCCCGGCAAGGGTATTTGGACACAATGACTTGGAAATAATTAATAGTTAAAAAAGGGGGGGCGGGAGAAGGGTGAGAAGGGGAGCGAAGGATGTCATCATATTTTATCAGAGCACTTTATACTCCACGCTAAACTTTGATCTCTAGATTTTCGGATTTTGGAAAGAAATGGGGGAAAAGGGAGAAAGTCCAATATTTCGAAGCACCTACCGGCTTGAGGACAGGCGCATTCCTGGCTCCGGCGCCAGATCGCTGCGCTCGCGCCGCCCATGCTGAGGCTTTGGGCACAGAGAACCCCCGGGCGCAACCCAAAGCTCTAGGGTGTCCCTAGACCCTGCGCATCCGCCCGCGGCCGCAGCCGCCTCGACTTACCCGCGGAGACTCGGGAGGGAGTGGGAGCGCCGCCTTCACGCCTGCGGAGGAGGCGCCGGCAGCACCATGGTCCCCGGCGCCGCTGCCGCTGCCCCTGGCCCGCTTGCTCGCCACACGCTCTCTTCCTCTTACAAACTTTCGGGTTCTGCGGTCGACAAGAAACCGGGGTGACCGTCAGCAAGTCTTCTCGGTGCAGGTTGGGGGAAATGGAGTGGGGCGGGATAGATGAGTAAGCTGGGGGGCCAAGGCTGAGAGGGCGTCGGGCCCGAAGGACCCACAAGCGCGCGTGGAGGGAAGAGAGGATGTGGCTCAGGGATTCCTGCAAGGATCCCGAGACAGGGAATCGGACGGAGCCAAAGTCTCAGCACCTTACTCGGGATCTTACAAAGTTGCAACAACAAAAAAGGAGGGGGGAGGAAAGGGGGAGGGGTGGGATCGGGATAAGATCGCAGTCGCAAGGTTTGGAGTTACAACTGTTTATTTAGTCCTTATTCTAACAGGGGGCGGGAGCTGCGAGGCAATGGGGGGCGATGGGGGAGTGGGGGTTGCAGGCAGCGATTTCTTAGCAAACACTTGGGGGGTGGGGAGGGCATGAGACTTTGTTTCTGGGCGCGAAGCTCCCTTGCGCCCGCCTGTGTCACAGCCAGTCTCCAGGGACCAAGGTGGAACTCACAACAGGTGGGGAGGGGGACTAGCCTAGGGCCAAAAAGGAGAAGGAATCAAAGTTTCCAAGCGCAGCAGCTCTGGGAAGGAGGGGGGCGGAAGGCGGGGGCGAGGGGAGGCGGAGGCAGTGAATGACCGCGACCCCGCGGCAACTGGCAAACCCCTCGGCTCCCGACACCGCCACCTCGGTCCCCACCCGAGGCGCACCGCCGCCCGGCTTGCGGGCTGGCTCAGCTGAATCCTCTTTGCGGGCACGAATGGAGCGCCGGGAGCTCGGTAAGAAGGCGGCGCGCAGACGAGGAACAGAGAGCCATCGGCTGCCGGGACACCGCCAAAGGGACGCGGCGACTCGCGCACGTCTTAGGACATATCGAGGCTTGGGAAATCCCCTCCACCCCCGTTCTTAAGAGGGGAGTACACCCAGAAAGTGCATGTGATGGAGTGGAGAGGAATCCGCGCGCGGCGCACCCTGCTCCCACTCTCACTCGCGGAGCTGGCCACGGCAGTCGCGGATCCCTGGCAGGGAGGCTGAGTTCGCTGGGCCGAGCGCGTGAGGGGTACGTGTCTAGCTGAAGGTGCGCGGGTATGTGTTTGAGTTTTCTGGGCTCCGGGGTGCGACAGAGGAGTGCCCCCGCCATCGAGGTCGGGACATGGCTTGCGTAGCACTAGAGACGGCCCCAGCCGCGGGGCCTAGGGCGCGGACGTCCCCAGTCATTCCGCTGAGGCCCACGGAGCAGCCCCAGGGCACAGAGGGGAAAACACTAGCAGTTGAGCGAAGGGGAAAAGTTTGCTCCAAGTCCAAACTTTGGGCTCAAGAAGCACCCAGCAGCACGCCCCCTCCCGCCGTGGACCTGACCCCGGGCCCTGCGCCCCGCCGGCAGCTACTCGGCAGGCACCCCAACAACGGACACCAAAGTTACGCCAGGCCGCCTGGGCTTATCGATTTCTCTCCCCACAGCGACTGCAGAACGCGTGAAGGGGCAGAGGGGAAGGCGAGATTGCCTCCTTGCTGCTGCCTTCGCCACCCCACCCCCCATTTGACTTCTGGAAATACACCCGAGAGAGCAGTGCCCCAGGAAACCCCTCCACCCCCGAGGCGACTCGCAGCCCCCACCCACCCTAGAGCCTGGCCCTGACCCTGGGAAGAGAGAGGCTGCCTCTGGGGAGGGCTGGGGGAGATGCACGTGGAGCCGGGAGATGAAAAGTAGATTTTTTTCTTTTTCTTTTCTTTTTCTTTCTTTCTTTTTTTTTTTTTGGTTGTTGTTGTTGTTGTTTAAAGTGGTCGGAGACAAGGCAGGAGGCGGCTTGGGAAAAAGTGGAGCAGAAATGGAAAAATACAAACTCACCCGCTGCAAATGGTCTCTCGGTGCAAACTAAGGTGTTTTCGGGCCTTTCCCCGAGCGCGCCCACTCCCGCCCGCGCGCGCACCCCCGCAAACACACTCACTTGGTCACACACGCACGCGCGCGCATACACACACACACACACACAGACACACGCGCGCACACACACGCACTCCCGGGCGAGGGCCGGGCCGAGCGAGTACAGCATGAGACCGCCACACAATAAATAACAATAGATTCCTCCGCTCCGGACTAGCTTCCCCGAGCCCAGCTAGCGCCAGTGGCGGCGGCCACAGAGGCGCGGACGGTGTCGGGCCGGGGGCTTTCCCCAGCCTGCTCCCACCCCTGGCATCCAGCCTGGGCCCCTTCTCCACCTCACGCGCCCACAAACCACCCCCGGGCTTGAGCCTGCTCACCCTCCTTCCCCAAGCCACTTAAGCGCTGGTGCCCGCCCCCACCCCCGGAACAAATAAATAAATAAGGCGCGCGCGAGGCCAACACGTCGCGGAGGGAGATGTTGTTATTTTTTGCTGTTGTGCGTCCCTGACGTCACATCCACCTGCTGGGTAAACAACAAGGCTTGCAGCAAAAAAAAAAAAAAAAAATCGCAGTTGCCAAAGCAGGCCTGGGGGAGGTGGGAATTGGGGGCAAAGGGAACAGGAGGTGGGAGTGAGGGGCGTCCGGGCTGGATGGGGGAGAGGGAGGCAGAGCCTGCAGATCTGAGAGAGGGGGGCCACGCCAGAGCACTCCCTGGCAAAAGAGGAATCAGGCAAGAAAGACCTGGAAAACAAGGGACACGGGGGAGGGGGATTCCTCAGAAGAAGGGGAAAGGGGGGCCCATTCAGACACTGGGGGGAAAAACGAGAGGAAGAGTGTTAGCAACTAGGGACGAAGATGGTAACGCGATGGCTATTTGCTTGGTTTCTGAGCTAAAAATACAGAAGGAAGAGGAGAGGATAGACAGGGATGTGAGTTTCCTCCAGTTAAAAGTGAAAGTGTTTTGCCATCAGTGACAGTTGAAGGAGGGGGAGGTGGGGTGGTGTTTTCAACCCCCTTTCTCCTCCTCTCCCGTCCTCCCTCGGTCTCTCCTCTTTCTTTCTGTACTTTGTCCAATGAAAGAAGGCGAGTTCGGAAGGTGAAAGTTCAGCAGAAGGACAAACCCCTGTTTGCAAGAAAGAGAAAGCAGCCAGCGAGGGGTTTTTCCCCCTGTATTTCTGAAGCAGGAGAGTGTAATGTGGGACGCTTCCCGGTCCTTCCTTGTCAGAGTCACTGCAGGAATGTGTAGTTAGATCCACTTCAGGCGAAAGTGGCTGCGTTGGGAGCTGTGTTCTTGCCACGGTTTCTCTTAGGAAAACGCCCAGGGGGCTAGAATGTCAATCAGTTGTTTAACACAAATTACCTTCTCTCCCAGAGATCAGTCACATGTAAAAAGCTTTGTCCAATTCTTTGAAAAGGTGAGACTCTTTTTGTTGCTTTGAAGTTTGGTGAAATTTAGAAATTTGAAGGAGTAAATTAGGAGCCTGGATTAAATATTTTGAAATATACATGTACAAAACAAAAGACACAAGCATTTCTTTCACTATCATCAATACAAATAGAGAAGGAAGATGACTTTCTGTTTCCACACTGTGACTTGGAAAGATACATGGCTGTATGGTTTGTTATTGTTTTTAACAGAAATAATTTTTTCAGACTCTTAACCCCAGATGCTGTTAACATACCAGCATTTTCAGCTACTGGTTGGGTGGTATAGCAGGATAACTCTTTATGAGACTATATTGACAGCCGTCCTGTGCATTCCTACAAAGTACTTGGGAGGTGAGGAGACAATGGGGAAGGGGGAAAGACCTGGTGGAGAGCATAAGTACTATCCCTCTGGTCTTTAGCCTGGCACAGTTGTACATAACCAATATTCTGAAAAAGAGTTATTATCAATTTTTTGGATACTGCCTTTATACAGATATTTTTAAACATTCATTTACTGAAGAATTCTAAATCTCAATTTCAATAACAGCATAAGACTACCATTTTAAAATTGTATCTGTTTTGCAAGTAAATAAAAAGCATTCACTCATGCAACAGAATAAAGCCAGAGACAGGGAGACCACGCTAAGGTAATTACAGCACAGTAGAATTCTTGTTGAATGCATGCTGTATAAGATTCTAGGCTATCCAGGCAAAACCATCCATCAGATCTTTAGACTAGAATTGAGATAAAGAAAATGTGTTTGAGTTCCTGCAGCACTTCCTAGCTTCCTAGAGGCTAGAGTTGTGTTCTTTGACTCAAGACATTAAGACATGGCACACCTACTATGTTCTAGTAGGCACTGAGGGACGGAAAAATAAATAAAATTTCTGCCCTTGAGGAGCTCACAGTCTACATCTGTCAGTAACAACATCTAATATTTATTGAATCCTTACCATGAACTAGACAATTATATAAAAGCTTTGTCTTCTCAGTTAACACTATGAACAACTCTTTACCACCCATTACCATCACTGGAAATTCCATATGCTGAATTCACATGGAAGTAAATGGAAATCTACAAAGTAGCCAGTCTATGGAGGGTTGTTGGCTGGGGGTGTGATGATGTTTTTCATTTCTACAGTGTTTATGCCAGATATAACATGTTATGGTATATGTTGGGTCACAAAATTATAACTCAGGGGAACAGCAATTTATCTCAATGTGACAAATTTATTCATCATCTCTAAAGAACAGTTCATGCTCTGATCTTGTTTTCAGGTCAGATAATGAGTTTTTTTTCAAAAAAATTATTAGCATTTTCATACTAAAGAAGATGTTTAGGTTGCCACCGATCTTATTCTCCATTTTAAGTTTCTTACATTCGCTTGAAAGTGGGGGCCAAAATCAGGCTGGCAACAAGTTTTGCAGACAAAAGGAAATCCTGGCTGTAAATCCCATGATATATTGTACCCAATTTTGTAATAATACTGTCTAATGTGCTGCCGTATTAAAGACTTCCATGCCCATTTGGCTTACATTAGAGGGAAACTTAACGGCAGTTTAACATATAGTTCATTTTCAACACTGTCACGTTACATTCATAAGGAGCACATTTTAATTTCTTTATCAGTAATCAACTAGAAATTTCTTTTTGTTAAATTAAAGCAAGAAGGGTTTTTAAATAAAGGGCATGGGGGTAGGACGCCACCTTTTGGTGGTAAAACAAATAGAAATTCCTTTTTAAAACAGATGTTCCTGACATAATTTCATTTTTAATTATACTAAGGCAAAGGTGCTTGTCCCCATTTTGTTATATTTTAAGTAATAGGAAAAAACTGTAAATTCCAAATCAGCAAACTATAGTTAATTGCAGCCAAAATTTCCCCAACGGCATCAGAACATTCGAGTGCCTTGTCGCATACTGTTCATTGTATGTAACACCAACTTTGTTCTGCAAATACTATGCACATTTTTAGGGAACAGAAACTTGTGTGGACATCAACCAGTTAATGAGATACCTGAATCTCTTTTAAGTTTAGAATTAAACAGAAACTTTAAAATCACCTAATTCAGTGTTTCTTTAACTACACTCACCATCTTCCTAATTTTCACCATATCTACATAATAGTTCTTGAATAACTAACATACTGCACTCACTGAAGTACAGTTATTATAACTATACTAAATATTTTTCTGTAAAGCAACCAACTTTTATTTTTCTATTACTACATTAAGTCGGAAATCATATTTCCCAGTCTCCATAAATTAAAAACAATCACAGTAAAGACAAATTCGCTGACTTTTCTTTGTTAGAAAGAAAAAGAGGTCAAAAAAACTAAAATTTAAAAAAATTTAAACAGAAAAGTGACAAGTCCTGGAAAATGTTAATGACTGTCAACAGAGAATAGTTTTCTTTTTGATGCTGCTGATGTTGTTTGAACAACCAGAAAGAACTGAAAGTGACTGCCAAAGAAGTATAGTTCTCAATATGTGACTCAATGTTATCTAATGGCATCCCAGTGATAAGGCTCCTACACTCTGAGAAATAGGCATAACCAAGTATGTATATCAAATTACAGATTAGGAAGCTGAAACCCAGGGAGGTGACATTGCCCTCCAAGGCCAAATAACTGGTGAGTGGCTAAACAAGGATTAGAAACCAGGTGCCCTGGCTCCTTTTGTATTCCCATCTCATACTCTTCACTTTACCAAAGAGATGTGCCACCCCTCCTCAGAAATCACTTAACCTTCTCACAAATAGCCAACCCACATAGCCATTTATAAACAGGACAGCTGAGACCAGAGAGTCAAAATCAAGATCCCCTGCTTACCTTCTCCCTCTCCCCTACCCTAGGTGTGGCAGACATCCAGGTACTGGTAAACACCCTTTAGAAAGGGGGGAAGGGGAGAAAGGGAGGAGAAGAGGGGCATGGGGAAAGGGGAAAGGTTAGTAAAAGTGTTCAGAATACTCTAAATGAAGGCGTCTACTCCTAAGTGTCCTTCCAAGAAGAGAAAAATGGCTAATGAAAATCACATGTTTCACAGCAAGAGGCAAAAGAAGTGTGTTCTGTGTTGTGATGTGGCTCTGTGTCCATACCAAAAACCAGAGGATCTCCGTTTTTAAAGCACGGGAAGTATTTGGAACCAAAAACAAGCTTAAAAATGAAGCACGGTTGGCACTCAGTACCCACTGGTTCTGTATCCACCTATTCAACCCACGGGTTAGTGGGTGCTGCCGCTTGTATCTGGGGATGCAGAACCAGCCCCTAAGGAGGATGTACTGTAAGGGACTTGAGCCTCCACCTACTTGGGTATCTGAGCAAGGTCCTGGAAACAGTCTCCTCAGATACTGAGGGACCCCTTTATACAACACGATCAGGCATTCTGAAACAAACCACATTTGATAACTGAATGGCTTGAAAAACTAGTCAAGCAATGGTAAGAGATCCCAGCTTTCAAAGGGGCTTCCCCAATGCCAAAACCTGTTAAGAGGCTCAGCATTCAAACCAGAGACAATAGGGCATTTTCTGAGGTTTTAATCACGGAGAGGGGCTTTAGTTACAGAGATTGCATTTCCTGTTTTCTTTTAAGGGTATAGTTCAATAAATGTAAATAAACATGGCCTGTAAATATTTTTATGGTTTTTTTTTTTAAATTGGTGCTTGTGAAAGAAGTTGTTGATATGCACAATGAAGTATTTGGCCAAGTACCTCCACTCCAAAAAGCTGTTCTGATCCCTT